AGCCACGGTGTACACCCGGTGCTTCGTGCCGTCGGACCCAAGCACCACAACATATCCATCGCGTGTCCAACACTGGGATACACCAAAGCGCTTCCGAGCAGCAACAAACGCCTCATGACGACCCTTAGTCATGAACTCAGATAGAGTAACTCCGCTACCCTTTAGCTTGGTTTTGGAAAACCAAACTTTGTCACGGAGATCCTGATCTTGAAATTTCACGAGCAACACACGAGGCTTGTCGCCACGGGGGCGCCCTAAGCGATGGCATCTGGTAATAGAGTCCACACTTAATTCAGGGATGTTCAGCCGCTCTGATAATACCTTACTTGTGCAATGTACTAGGTTCTCATCTTGAGCTTCTGGCATTCCATGGACAAGCAACATCTTCCTCCTGGTCCTTACCTCCATTTCATCTTGCTGCCTAGAGAGAAGCTGGAGCTGAAGTTGCAGATTCTCAAGTGCTGACAGGACGAATGCCCTAAATGCATTAAATTGTGCATTAATATTGGAAGAAGGGCTCGTTGCAGGGATGGATGTTCTGACCTCCCTCTGGAACTCATCCATACGTGAAGTGAAATTCAGTGTTAGCTCTTCAATTGACTTCTTAAGCAAATCCATTTTTAATATTCAATTAAAGGTTACTTAAAGGTCAATGTCAAGTGACACTACTCTACTCTTGATCTTATAAGTTAAAATCCTATTTCCAAAAGCAGATTCAATAACACTAACGTTTGATAAAGAATTATGTGAATTTAAAAGATTATTTTTATGAACATTACTTTTAAAATGATTAGCTAAATACCGTTTCTTGATAAATATATGGCACGTTGGACATTCCACTTGATCATCGTTACTGATACTGTTCCCTGCAGAGGTATGCGCTTCTGCTTCCATTGTTGGTTTTTTGATGATCTTGGATTCTTTGCTGCACGTTCGCTTCGTTCCTCTTCCAAGTTGTAGTGGTTGACTGCTAAAATGTTTAAATTTATTAAAAACTGTATAAGACAATATGTAAATTATGATCGAAATGAATGTTTATTTTACATACTTAAACTGTGTTTCAACCATCGCACAGTGATGATACAACTCATCATCGTATGACGAATCGAACAGTTGACCCCTCTCCATTTCTTCACAAACTTTAGACAACTCCTGATTTAATTCGCTATTGAATAGTTCCGTATTCTCTTCCATGATTGTGGAGAAAAAAGCACTGGTGCACACTTCACTGAAGTTTTCCCTTCCTCTTTTTTATTTTTGATTCAGCTTCAAAAAAATGATCAATCGATTGCGATTTTCTTTTTCCACCATCGCATGTGTTATTATTAATGACGAGGTTATCACTCTCTTCTTGAGGGGAGAGTGGCGAGTAGTAATACTGTTTATAGGTATCTTCATCGAAGCTCAATGATTTCTGCAACAACACAGTTATCATGTTAATATCAATTTGTTAACACTTAATCATAAAAGTTAAAAAAGTTAAAGTTACAGCCTATTAAAGTCCACTGCTGAACATAGGCCTCCTCTCATTTCTGAGAGGGTTTTAGAGCAAGGAAATGTCCGCCGCGCTCCCTCAATGTGTGTTGGCGAACTTCACATGCCTTCGAAATTTTCTCAGACATGCAGGTTTCCTCACGATGTTGTCCTTCACCACCAAGCACGTGGTAATAAGCACTTAAAATTGCTATTAACAATTTAATTGGTGCTGGCGGGGATCGAACCCGGGTCGCGTACTGTGAAATTTACAGCTAGCGCTAACCATCTGAGTTACCACGGCTTAATCATATACATACACAATATTTAAATAAAATAATACACACACACATGAAAATAACAGAAAAAAAGTAATTTAGTCAATAGAATAAACACTTACATCCATAGCCTTTGGTGTATTGAAGTAACACAAATGTACTATTGATAGATCCACTGTAGCCAAACGACCGTACACTAACTCGATGACTGCGTTTGTTGGTCTTATATACCACCAGTACGTAAAAATTCTAATCTAAAGTATTTCCGTAATGAGTTGATAATTACTTTATGCGTCAACCAGTTTATCTCACATTTCCGTTGCCTATCTCAACATTTCTTCGTATTGTGTTTTGTTTGGTGATCAATGACTCAAGTACGATTTGTATAACACAAAAATGCAATTTAATATTTAGAAACATATCAGTTTATCTCACATTTCCGTTGCCTATCTCAACATTTCTTCGTATTGTGTTTTCTTTGGTGATCAATGACTCAAGTACGATTTGTATATCACAAAAATGCAATTTAATATGTAGAAATCACTATAATTGACCATTCCTATGTTATTCATTGAGTAGCTAGGTACTGTAATAATCTACTAATAGCAGTAATATCATGGATACACTAGATGTACAACAACATCTGAAAAAGATTCACCCCAGTCTAGAAAATAATGTTTATGCAGCTAATAGACTGCCTATGTATACCCACGTACCAACGTATATAATATGTAATTTGGATACAGATGATAAACCAGGGTCACATTGGGTAGCTTTATATATCGATACGAATGACGTCGGTCAATATTTTGATTCATATGGACGATCACCTGTACGATATCATCTAGAGTTTTTAAAAAGGAATTGTAAAAGATGGAACTGGAATGTTGATAGGATTCAGAATGAGTGGACTTCAGTTTGTGGCGAATATTGCTTAATGTATTTGCTATATAAGTTTCAAGGATGTTCAATACATAGTTTTACGAGTATATTTACAAGGAACACATTGTACAACGATATTTTAGTGGATGAGATGTTTCGCTCCTATTTTATAGATAATAATTAATAAGATTTTGTATTTTATAAATAAAAATTGTAACAAAATTATGTAATGTGTTTTATTGATGATTCAGATTAGCGTTGTATAAACAAAGAACTATAACACAATAGCACTGATATAGTCGACGCACACGCTGCAATGAAGGTGATTAAGGAACAATAGAACAATAGAAATAGGAACAATGGGACGCTAATGACGGTGGAGGCCCTTACCGGATATCAATTAGATATTAGCTAATTGATCTACACATCTCCGGAACCGTGCATTCTACACCGCGGATCTGGACCGCGGATTCGTGATCAGAGCATGCCAAAACCTTTTTTTTTTTTTTTTTTTAGGATCGGGCGTCGACGAACGTCGTTGAACCACGTCTGACTCAGGTGGTCTAGAAGTGGTACAACTACACTACTAACACCCCTTAGTAACCACAGGAAAAGATGCAAAGTAATGTCCGTATTACTCGCGAGCAGCGATAAAGTTTTTATTTAGCTCGCGTATACGATTTATCTACTCTAATTAATAATAATTATGTAGGCTATTAAAACGTCGGCAAGCAGTCAACATCAAAGAAACGCAACTTCTGTAGGTAGTACTATTATTTATTCTGTGGTAGTACACCCAGTACAGTAGCAAGCGTAATGCGCGTGTGTGCGGGAGTGCATTTCATATACAGCAATTGTTACTTAAATAAACATTACCTTATAGTCTCCACGTCTCTTTCAGACCGTAAAAAAATCGAGGTGTGGCTGGTTATGGCGTGGGCATGACCAGGTGTTTTAAGTGGATACGTGTACGTGTACGAAACAATCTCAAAATTGCGGCGCTATCCCCACCACCGCGCACTGTACATCAGAGTTCTAACTTAATGTAACGAATTCTTTATTCCTTTAACTATCGAGTGTCGCAATTAAATTTTGAATGTAGATGACAGATATGTAGCTGCAACACCAATCCGTATCCCCCGATTGTGATATCATCGGTTTTCTGAATTGTCTCCCACTATGGAACCAAATTTAAAGACGTATTCATATCACGCACTGCACGACAATCAGTCTTCATAAAGTAAAAAGAATTTGTCATAATATAAATTAATATTTTACTACATAATATTAATTAATATGACGTCATAAATCCCCGCCATTTTTATACTGTAAGCAACTGGCGTTTTCGAGGTAAGGTGATCTCAGTACTTTGATCACCTGATCAAAAAACATAACAGCGCCTGGAGACTGAACAGCTTCCACGAATGATTGTTATTATTATTAATTAATATTGTTATTGAAGTAAACTCGGACATTAAGTTTTAAAACCAACAACATTCAAATTATTATTTTTATTGTTGAATAGAAAACGTGAACATGATAAATATTTTCATTTGGAAATAGTGTCGAAAAATGGGGATGCCAGTATACTGGGCTGCGTTCCGTTTTAAGCAGTAACCAGTATAGCAAACTAAAAAGGAACGGCTTCACAGTATACTGAATTGACATCACACCGTACAGTGGTCACAGTGTATATCGGAACACACCCTAGATGATACTGCTATTCTTAGGGGTAAGGAAGTCTATCTGGTATTTCCCTGATACACTTTTTATGACACCCAAAGGATTATAAGGAATAATTCCCTAATGGTCGTTAAAGTATTATAATATTATTGTGTAAAAAACCCTAAAGTGGTTTTCAATAATCTGCAGCGCAATAATATAACTAGTGAAAATCACTGTGAAAGTTCCTTATGTTTTTTCATTGTGATCATATCTTGTAAACTTTTAGGTGTCGTAAAAATTAACAGAGGGAAATGAAGGAGGAAACGTTCAACAACTATAGTTATTATAATTTAATATTGTTATTATTTTTAAACTCCCGCTGGGTTTATTGTTGGTTCCTCCCTCGACTGAGGTTTTTTCCGAACCAGCGGTAATGCTTAAATAATTTCAATAAATATTCTTACAATCCATATTAAATAAAAATGATTGCTTTCCATTATTTATATCAAAACAAGGTATTAACAATGAATACCGATCTAATATTCAATACTATGGTAGCTTTAATTATTATAATAATGATAATAAAAATTATAATAAGCTTTATGCAGTTATTTGTTGACGTGAATAAAAAATAGTTATAAAAATATTGGAATTGTATTAAAATTTATCATTATCAGAAGTTTTAATCTTGATCCTCCACAGCGTCCGTTTTCTGAGTACGACAGCAACTACCAGATCATGTTCGTGGTGGGCATGGGTGGGCGGCCGGAGATCCCCGGCAGCCTGTCGGAGGAGGGGCAAGAGTTTTGCCGACGCTGCCTCACGCACGACCCCGAGCTGAGACCAAGGGCGCAAGATCTGGCGCTGCACCACTTTCTAATGGTGCGCACCGGCATTGTCTACACCAACATTATTATCAACACCAACACCAACACCAACATCATTACCAACACCAACACCATTACAAACACCAACATCATTGCAAATACCAACATTATTGCCAACACTAACATCATGACCAACACCAACATCATTACAAATCAATCAATTTATTTATTCGTTTTCACAGCTAACTACGTTGACAATGTTATAATTTTATAGTACCTCCGTGAAATGCATTTATAACATACGAATGTATACATATATCCACACATCATAAAATTAAATATAAACGAAACAAATCAAAATAACAATTAAATTAAGTAAACAGAGTCAAAACATAATTATTAAATTACATATTTAAATCATTAGTGAATAGAAATTCATTGACATTATAATAACATTTATCTTTAAGAAAATTATTTAGAGAGTACATTTAAATTTTTGCACATTATAATATTTTATGTGGTCAGGTAATTTATTATATAATTTAGGCGTCATTTCAACAAAACTTTTTTTTCATAAGGGCAGTTTTACATACATTTGTCTGGATTTTTTGTTTCTGAGGACGAAGGCTGTTGACGAAGGAAGTTGTAGCACGAATGGGTCGGCTCGACCGGGGACGGACCACGCTCTCACAGAAAACCAGCGTAAAATAGCAGCTTAAAGCTACTGTGTTTCGTATGGTGAATGTAGAGATCCGGAGACCCTTTTTACTGGAAACGAGGTATTACATCTTAGTCCTCAGGGGTGACAACGCATCTGCATTTTGATTCGCAAACGAGGATAGATGTAGATATCCATGGGCCACAGCAACCACTTACCATCAGGTGGACTGTGCGCTCGTTTGTCACCCTATCCTATAAAAAAACGAAGGCTAACAGAAGATGGTTGTACACTCTTATCAAAAAGATTCGGATTGCACTTTACAAACATGCTAGTAAACAAATACATGGTACTGTTAATATCTTAGGAGATCTAAGGTATGTATATTCTTTCTTGCTGGTTCTTTCCAGGACAGAAGTATTCTTCGAACCAGTGCTAAATAAAAAATGACTTTCAATAAGTATTATGTAATAATCAATATTGAATGAAAATCATTCTATTCTATTCTATGCAACTTTCTGTGGGCTTCATCCCAGAAATAGCTCGAATACATTGCTTTCGAACTTTCCCTAATTCCCTGTATGTTGATAGTCCCCAAAATATGATACCCAATCGCAGGGTCAATTATTGTTGGAATTGTCATTATTATTAATATTTAAAGAAATGTCAGTAATAGTACGAGGGCGGCACGAAAAATTTCGGGAATCAAGGAAGTTACACAACTACAACTTACTATTTAAAAATGTATTTATTGCTTTTCGAAGTATTCTCCGCGAAATTTGACATATTTTTCCATACGATGGAACCAATCATTGAAGCAACCATTCCATTCGGAAGTTGGGGTCTCCAAAATGGCCGTTTTGTAGGCGTCCACAGCTTCTTCAGGTGATGAAAATCTCTGTCCACGCAATTTCCTGCGTGGAATCTTTCGAGAGTTCTAACGCACCAAGTAACGCGAGCCGCTTTTTGCTCTTCACAGAGCGAATGCGGTATCCATCGGGAAAACAACTTTTTTACACCTAATTGTTCATGCAAGATTATTTGTATTTCACTCATTCCAATGTCTAAAGTTGCCTGAATTTCGCGGTATGTCACATGTCGATCTTCCGCAATCAGCTTACGCACAGCATCAACGTATTCTTGGGTGAATGCAGTTTTTGGATGACCTTGACGGGGAGCATCACTGAGCTTGACACGTCCACGTTGAAATTCAACAAACCAGCGATAAATTGTGGTTTTGGATGGGGCTTCATCACCAAATGCAGAAATCATCCGGTAACACACTGTTTTTGTGTTAAACCACTTCGAAAGTCATAATAAATCATTGCTCTTGAATTTTCTCAAGTCAATTCCATTTTCTCAACGACTAAACAAGTTTGATAAAACCTTGTGACAAGACCGAGAATCTTTTTTTAAATAAATAAATGGTATTCGATTTTTAAAACCAAGGACTTTTCAATACTAAAGATTTTAATATGACAGGAACAGTGGAAATATTCCATTCCCGATACTTTTAGTGCAGCCCTCGTATAATTGTCAGTTTTTATGTCATCAATAAAAAAAGTTATCAATGGCATTAGTGATGTCAATAGGGTTTGTAAGATATTCGTTACCTACTTTTAGCTTCTGTGTTGATTCTTCGGGAATACTTGTTTTGAATTTATAACAGACCAAGTTGCTTTCTTTTTATTTTTCGACTTATTTATATGTATAATAGTCATTTTGTGAACGTTGTGTATTTTTGTATTATTTTCTTTAATTTGGATGAATATTCTTTTAATTTATATTAAAAGAATTGTTAGCTTGAATAAGGTCGAGAATTTCTTGGGTATAGTATGATAAAATTAAACACGCATGTTTTGTTCGACGATCTTTTGGACACTCACTAAATGAAAGTAAGGAATATGAGCGTTATAACCAAATACAGAGCTAGGTATAGTAAATACATTACTTAGTCAAACAAGAATATTAGACTCTTTGTTTTTATTTCTAAAGTGCCAAAGTAAATCCCGCTTTTTTATAGTTTTATATAGCTGTGAGAGCGTGGTCCTTCCCCGGTCGAGCCGAGCCATTCGTGCTACAACTTTACTATTAATATAGCTGCAGCATGGCTCTACCACGTACAAACCATATATTGATTTGAGATCTTAGAACTAAAATACTGCAAACTTATAAATAGTTCTTGTGCTAAAACTTCAAAATATAAACCCCGTTAATGTATTTCAGGTAAAATCAGACGAAGACTGCAAGTGCGAGCCGGCATACCTCATCACATGACAGGCTTCCGAGAATGAATTCTTCGAAAACCAATTATAAATTGCCAAAGGATTCAGATAAAATAACTTTATTGCAGCTATATCGAAACTAAGAATAATAAAATGAACTCTTGTAATATTTTCAAATTAATATTTCCAATTATTTGGAATTACTTGGAAATGTTTATTGCTTTTAATTTTTGAGCATAAAATCCCAGAAGATAAAGACAATTGTTAAAAATAAAACATGTTTATCAGTAAGCAGTATACATATAAATAAAATTAAAGTGGCTGTCTGTAATATCGAAAATATTAGGTTCTTTCAAGCTCAGGGTATTATTTGCATTCCATTAAGACACAAACAACCATTTTTAAAATGTTTGTCTGTTCCTCTATCTGTTTATTTGTGCGGGCTAATCTTTGCTGCCTGAACCGATTGTGACGAATCTTTACAAACAGATAGGAGCAATGTCGGGAGGTATCTATTTATCCGAAAAACTTGAAGATTAAAAAAAAACTGAAAATTGATACAATAAATGGTGTTTTATTATAAGCGAAGGCGGGTAGCTAGTTAAAAATATAGTATCGATAAGGGTAAGAGCAGAGCGTTTAGAAGTCCCGAGCGGACACCAGCTTGTTGCCTGTTATTGTCTGCTGAGTGGCGGTGCGGTCACAGGCTAACTACTAGCAGTCGGTCATCGCGGGCATCTAGACAACATCGGAGCAACAGTGCGGCCTGAGGCACGATCAGAACGCCCGCTAGAGTTCTCCTGTCACGCAAATAAATTATATAGCACACACTACATGTGCGGTAAAAAACTAAAGGTCGTCCTCATTTAAAGATAAGAAATTAGTTTCATCAGTTTCCACATACACATTAATTTGTTTGAACGTGAAATAAAATTAAATCACTTTTTAATTTTATTTACTACTTCCTGTTCTGCCAACACTAGCAATTAGTGTGGTAGTGCAATGTTTTGGTTAAAAGAGCAAGCTAGAATGACTGCAGGTTAACAACTGAGATACAATGAACTACATACAAAGTTTTAAAGCTAGTGATAAGTGATCATTCAATCAGATTTTTTCAAACATATTATGCCCTAGTTATATGTTTGTAATCTCGTAAATTACATAAAAATAACTGTCGATGTTGAATGGGCGATGTTTTAAAGAACGATTATATTCTAAAGTATTCAATATTGAAATTAAAATATAAAATTGTATTGATGAAATAAAAGAAATATGTACTCTCTTATATTATTGGAAAGAAGTTCCTTATCGCACGGTACCAATTTGGTGGATGGCCGCTAGGCAAGAAAAAATGTAAGATTATTCCGTCACGACCCCCTGCGTGGGAAATAGGATAACATCTATCTCCCTCGCACTTTTTATTATCTTGCTAAAAAAAGAAATATTTTAAATGACGCTTTATTTTAATAGACGCTAGTAATTCATTTATTTGTATTTTTTGTATTTGTTAATCAATAATATAATATGTTTATCAATAATAATATACTGCGAAAGCAACTTCTCACGCATGTATTTTATATGCTTTAAGAGAGTTGTAAAAGTGCTTAAGAATATATAAAATAATTAAGTTGTAAAGCAGCTATACACACGAGCTATATACTACGTAATAACACGAATGTTAGTAAAATATTCATGAATGTTTACCTGTTTAGTTTAATGTAGATAGATATAAACGTTCGTCAAATTTTAGAGGAAATGACTGTTAAACTATAAATTGTATGTATATTTTGTATTAAGTACATGAGCAAATTTTGTAACATAAAATGAGGTGTAGGTATGATAATTGTTATATACGGAAATCCACCTGTATATTCTTATAATGAACAAATTATATATTTAAAAGTTAAGGCTTTTCAAATGAAAAATTAATATTTTCTACGATTAAGGATAATAAGCGCTTTTGTAACATTTTACATATTTATATAAACGGTGTAATATAGAAACAAAGCAACCAATGACCTAGAAATTCCATTCTTTTCATAATAATTGTGGGGAACTAGGACACCTTACTTGTAATGTGTTTGGAATATTTTATTCTGTGTACAGTTTTGACTTAATTTTCTGGGATCGCCCTTGAAGAGTTTATTTCATTAGTATGTTATATAATCGGGTATGTGTGTGATGAAATACTAATTTCGTAAATGATATAGCACAGAGTGGCCATTGACTTGGAGAATTAGCAGGGAATGTTATACAATTTTCTAATGTCTAAAACGAATATTTTGATACGAAACAGATGTTGTATAAGGGGCAACATAATAGAGATAAGAAACAAGAGAGTTTACTACCCCATATCATCCCGTGGGTATCGTAAGAGGGAACAGAAGATAACAAACAGAAGATGCGCAACAGCATATTCTTGATAAAACTCAAAATTAAAAAATGTGGTCTCCAACCTTCCTGCCAAGCGTGCCACACTAGGACAAATATTATACTTATACTTATACTTATCTTCACGCACAATCCCTGACGGGGTAGCCAGAGAGAACAGATTGCCAAGTGTCACGATCCTTACAAACCTCTTTCGCTTCTTTCAGATTCATTATCTTCTTCATGCATGCACGTCTAGGTATCCGAGTACTTTTGACCCTACCCTCTTCGAGCAATTTGCTCACATGGTCTTCGAAAGTTAGTCTCGGTCTACCTCGACACCTTTTCATATTAACTTTCGCGCTATATATTTTCTTCACCATTCGGTCTTCACTCATTCGCTCAACGTGCCCAAACCACCGAAGCACGCCCTTATCAATTTTTGTGATAAGGTCATCTTTCAAACCTGCCATATTGCGAATCTCTTCGTTTCGCTTTCGGTCGGCCATGGTAACGCCGCACATTTTACGAAGAGATCGCATCTCCACTGTATTCAACTTACTTTTATGCTTCTTCTGGCATACCCAGGTTTGGCTGCCATATAACAAAGTCGGTACCAACACTGCGTTATGTATTGCAAGGCGTGCACTCTTCGCTACGCCTTGCCTTTTGACTAACGCAGTCAGGGCACCATTGACTTTGTTCCCGGCAGCGACACGCCTGTCCACATCTAAATCACATCTTCCATCCCGGCTAAAAGCGCTCCCCAAGTATACAATTTCATTTACCTGTTCTAGACATTCCTGATTTACCCATATTTCACACTTCGTTCTCTCTTCGTCCCTTTCAAATACCAGAACCTTAGTTTTATTAGCATTCAAACGGAGACCTTTAATTTCACATTCCTCTTTCATACACGTGACTAATGCCTGCAGTTCTGCCTCTGATGGTGCAATAAGCACTGCATCATCAGCATACAGCAGACAATTTACTTTAATGTCACCCAATTTCACACCCAAACAACTATCTTTCAGCTTCTGTAAACAGCTGTCGAGATACAGTATGAATAGCCAGGAAGACATGACACAACCCTGCTTTACGCCCGTTTGGACGTTAAACATGGGTGACAGGTCATGCCCTACCCGCACACAGGCTTTACAGTCACAGTAAAGAGACTGCACAGCCCTTAGCAATCGACCATCCACACCATACCCCGGCAACAGTTCCCACATTTTCTTCCTAACAACCTTATCAAATGCTTTCTCAAGATCCACAAAAGCACAGAAAATCTTCTGGTTAGCAGCCAGAAGCTTCTCCGTGATCATGCGGAGAGAAAACATTTGATCCGTGCATCCTCTTCCAGGTCTAAATCCGCATTGTGCCTCCCATAGAAATCTTTCCGATTTCTCTTGCATCCTACGTGTCAAAACCTTCGAGTAAACTTTACTTGCTAAACTGGTCAAGCTGATCGCCCGATAGCACCCGCAGTCAAAATGTGAACCTTTACCTTTATATAAAGGCACAATGACTGCGGATCGCCAATCATCCGGGACATCCCCCGTCCGCCAGCACAAATTGCACAGCAGGTGAAAGCTGTCCCAGACGCGAGGCCCACCATACTTGACCATTTCAGCCGTAACTCTGTCTAGTCCCGCAGCCTTACCACATTTCAAACTTCGAATCGCACGTTCAATCTCTTTCATACTGATGACCTCAGTGTCATCGAGGTCCGGGTCTGGCGTACCAGTCACGGCGTCATCCCCGGATCCCTCACTAAGATCATCATACGCATACATTTCTCTATAAAATTCGCTCCATCGCTGCATGACGTCCGATTTTTTTGAGAGGACGTCATTAGTTCTCGAAAGCACTTTGTTCATTCTTAAGGCCGTCGCACCACTCCGGGTCCTTCCAACCTCTTTCCAGAAGAGTTTGGAGTTCTCCTTAAAGTTCTGCGACAACCTTTCGTCCGCTTCCATTCTACACCTTTCACGCACTTCCTCAATCAATGCTTTCGTGTGACCTTTCTGCAGCCTATATCTTTCTTTCATCTTCTCTCTCATATCCTTATCATTACTAGAGGCCAAGTAGTCTAACCATGCTTTCTTCTTCTTTTTTACAGCTTCTTTCACTTCATCATTCCACCATGCATCTCTTCTTTTACTACTGCCTCTTTTTATTGTTCCACACACTTCTTCCGCTGCACTTACCATTCCATCCCTAAGGTTCTGCCAAGTTCTTTCTACACATTCTTTTCTGCCATCGATGGTGTCAAGCTTTTCGGCTACCCTCGCATGATATTTGTCCCTAGTATCCGCTTCCTGAAGCTTCCAGCTTCGGATGCGACAGACCGACTGTGGTTCTGTTACTGCCGTCCGGTAGCGCCAACCCGCGAACAGACCCCTAAATCTAGTAATCACTAGATAGTGATCCGTTCCCAGGTCAGCACCCCTGAACACTCGCGTATCCATCACCTGTTTTCGCAGTCGGTCATCCACCAGGAACAAATCAATCATACTTCTCTCATTCTTTCGTTCTCTGGTATACATATGGATTTTCTTGTGATTAAACATAGTGTTTGTCACAAGAAGACCCTTTTCCTTGCACACCGCCAGTATAAGCTTGCCAGCATCATTAACCCTTTTATCGCCAAACTTGCCAAGTACCGACTCGTACCCTGGT